TTCAAAGTTTTTGCGTAGTTGAAAAAAATAATTTAAGCCATGAGGAATTGCAGATGAAGTCCTTAAATAGTGGTACTTTTCCACAGTTTGAAAAAATACGTAATTTTGTTTTTTTTCAATGCCACACTCAAACGAAGCTACTGAGAGGATCTTAAGTATAAAGTTTTCTTCCTTCTAATTCAAAATTTTTAAAGTGAACTGCATACTAAAAGTAATTTTAAATTGAAAAACATAGAATTCTTTGACTATTTAAGCACTGAAGATGGAAATGATCTCATTATTGCTATTCAAAAATGTCGTAAATATAATGATGTGTACACTCATGTTAAAATGAATAACACTTTTCTTATGAACTATATTTTATTTATATACTAAAATATTGTTAACAACAACTACTCTGGCGTTTTAAAGTATTATCTGATACTTACATTCTTAATTTTGCTTTGAATAAAAATGTACTGAAAAGTACTTATTTTTTTAGCATGAAAAAGTCTAATGTACTGATTTCGCGCATAAAAAATCTGGCAACCCTAGTTGTGACAGCTTGATTTGACACTGCCTTTGCTCAGTAGAATAAAAGTGAAAGGGTAGCAAAGTTCTTAAGAACCATGATAAAAACATTAGAAGGTAAAACCATTCTCTCAATTCGTCGGCCATGATTTTTTTCTGACGTTTGCAAACATTTTAAAATCATATAAAATTGAAAATAAAAAAATTAAATTGTTCACAATTGTTGTTGTTTGAGATTTAAAATGAGAATGTGTGTGTGAGCCTGAGCTCGAATTTTAAAATTATATTGTTGGCAAACGTCAGACTGCCTCTCAACGATTTTACCTTGTAATGTTTTTATCATGTTAAGAACTGCGTACTGCCTCAAGAAAATTTTACACAAGAAAATTTCTTAGGCATTTCTTGTACGTCATTTTGTATGGAATTTCTGCTTTTCTTGAGAACTGCATACAGGCCTTAAGAAGAAAAACGGGAAGAAATTAATCCCCACTTGGGGGAAAAATATAAAATTTCATATTATCTTCTAAACAAAATTTGCTTTTTTATAGTATATTCGTAATGAAATGAAATAAAATAAGAGAGGAACATTGATTGTTCGAAAAATTCGCAGCGACGGAATCGTACAAGTGTGCGCTAGCTCATTAAAATATATGGGTAGCATTGTTGTAATTTTTGGCTCTGCAGATTCGCAACTTCAGAATCGCGCTAAAGTGCGCTTCGCTTAACACCGACCTTTCTTGACCGTTTTCATGAGAGCTGCGTACTAGCCTTTACCCATGAACCAATTAGAACAGATCTGACCGGTTGAGAAGCAGCCATCTGTAATAGCAATTGAGAAAAAAGTGCGTGACGAAATTACAAACGCCAGCTAGAAAATTACTTTTTTCTTTTGCTGCATCTTGTCAGATCTTGTATAGTTGGATTATGGCCTTTACCCGTTGAAAAAGTCCGGGCTGTTTCGGGCAGGAAAAAGAAGAACTTACGATACCAATTTTCGCTCTCTATTACCCATTTTGTTGAGTACGGTAATGATTTCAGTAACTGTTTTGGGCACCCGCGGGATCTGGCGTTGCGCACGGGAAAGAAACTTTTTACTCCGGGTAAAAAATGGATAAAGGCAAGTGACAAAAACAAAAACAACCTTGAATCTGCTGTTTTTTCAAAGTCTGGGCACGAAATGTGGTTTTTTGCATTCCTGTACTTCTGGACTTTGCTCCATTTTTGAGAGCAAACTTTTCGCTTATTCTCTAATTACCGGATTCGGTCCGGATTCATGATCCAACTATACAAGATCTGACAAGATAAAACAAAAGAAAAAAGTAATTTTCTGGCTAAGGTTTGTAATTTCGGCGCAATGTTATTTTCTTTGAAAAGTAAACAAAGAATATGAAGACGAAGCATAAAGAAAGAATGCAAGTAATTTTGAAGCACATGTTTGTGCTAACCAATTTATTATTTTTGTACGTGTTTTTGCAACTAATCAACGCGCACTTCATTTTAATTACATTTGCACAAAAAATTTATTGAAAATCGCTTAAAAATCACTGAAATAAACCACCGACAAAATACACATAGAGAAAGAAGCAAAACAGAAATAGCAAACTTCAAAATTACGAACGTCACACACTTTTTTGTCAATAGCTATTACAAATGGCTGCTTCTCAACCGGTCAGCTCTGTTCTATTTGGTTCATGGTCCGGATTGTTACTTTATCCATTTTTACCCGGAGAAAAAGTCCCAGCTGTTTCGGGCATAAAGTTTTCGCTCTCTATTACCCATTTTGTTGAGTCGGGATCATGATTCAACAACTACAGGTTGTAGCAATCGTACAAAAACAACATTTACCGTTGGTATGAACTCCTTGTGTCATCAACATCTTCTTTATCTATTCATATTCGTATGTATATGTATACCCTGCACACCAGGATTTCATAGAATTCTGAAAGGTTTCACAATTTTTTTAAGAATTTTCTTTAAGAAATCGTACAGAAATTTCTTACTAGTTCCTGTCAACCGCTTCATATGTTTTTCTCTAAAGATTTCTAAAAGAATCCTAACAAATTTCCGACACTCTTAAAGATGTCGGGAGCATTTGTTTGCAGGGTATACATATATATACGACTATGTGTATGTATACGCGGATATGTAAATCATTGTATAGGCTTACAAGTATGGAAAGCGCCATTTTGTTTGTTTACATTTGAAAACAGCTGAGATCACCTGATTTTCAATTCTCTCATTCTCCGCACAGAGTTACATTCAAGTTTCAGAAAAAACTTTAAAATGTAAATTGAGAAATATTTTAGAAAAATGTGTTTTTATTCATTTGAATTCAATAAAAAAGAAATTAAAAATGCGTGCCAAGTCTTGCATTTCCAATAATAACGATAAATGTGTATGTTCCAGGCAATAATTTAAAATATTTGTGAAACTTATCGTTTTGCGCTAAAATACAACAATGTGTATAAAATTCGTTGTCATTGCTTCTGTTTTGAATATCATATTCGTGCCTGCCGGTGGAAAAAATAGGTAAATTTGCATTTATTTTCAAGAAAACATATCGGTTATGATGAATATCGCGGAAAAATTTTTGTATCAAAATTTCTATTCTAATTTGCATTTGAAGTGTAATATCAACAGGGATGATTTGGGACGTATTTTTTGAAGACAATTTTCTTATAAATCTTGCGATTGTTGATTTATTTTAGAATTAAGAAAGGTAGTTTATATTAAAAAATATATTTACACTAGCAGTATGTAAATTACTTTTATTACGAATTGAAACGATTTTAATGAATATCTTAAAAAGTAAACAAATCGATTTTTTTAATGTTACTTTACATCTATTTTCTTTTTTATGAATAAGGTCATAAGCAAGTACCGTTTTTATAAATAAATCTTATAGCAATATGCTATATATTTATTTATACACTTTTTGGCTGGCGAAATATGTAATTTTTCAACTTAATAGAAAAGCGTATTTAACCGCATTACTTTTTTTTAATATTGAATGGCGCAACACAACAACTCTTTTTGTTGCACGTAACCCTTGAACACGTGCCTGACATCTATATCTTCTGTTTCGACATTTTTGTATTTTGCATTTCTTTCATTTTGACGTCATTCGCATTGTCAGATTTTTGAAATTCGTTTTGGTTCGACATTCTGCTATTTCATAATTCTTTCATTCCCATGTCATCCATCTTCCATTTCTTACCTTCCATTGCCGTTCGCATCGTCGAACGTGTCTGTCAAACACTGCCGCCATCATGCTTTTCAGTTTGGCGGCAGGCACGTCCGCTGTTTGGCAGGCACGTCCGCTGTTAGAGAGAGAATAGACAAAAAGGGGCATAGGATTCCATACTTGTAAGTATATACGATGATGTAAATAAAGCAAAACAGACGATAATTTAATACAAGCGTGCTCATAAGAAGAAGCATAGCTTCTATCGCTATCACCCATGAACGAAAGACACAAGATCACGCCTTAAGGAAAGAAAGAAAAAAGTTATTTTCTAGCTGTTGAAATCTCGACGCCATCTTTGTTGTAAGAAGTAAACAACGAAGAGAACAAAAAAAAACGCGTAATTGTTGAACGCATGAATAATCATTTTTATTATGCAAATTCTCCTATAAATCATGTCGTTGTGTTAAATTATTCTTTACCTTATGTGTGCACACGTTGTCACAAGCGAAAATTAAGAAAATTGCAGTAAAAAGCCACCACCAAATTGTAAACAACGAACAAATGTAAACAAACGGCTTATGTCAAAATCGCCCTACTTTTTTCATAAGTGCGATTATAACGGGCCACTCTTCTGCTGTCGTGATCTTGTCTTTTTGGTTCATGGCTATCACCTGTAATTGATGCGCCTTGAGTCGGGATTGATTTCTGGCATGAACGAAACACACAAGATCGCGCAAGAGGGAAAGAAAGAAATGTTTTCTAGATGCTAAAATCGCGAGGCCACGCGTGATTCCGCGTTGCGACCAGGAGAGAATCTATTGTGAATTCATTTTGCATAATCAAAGAGGAGGCATCCGCTTGACATCTGCTGGTTGTTGTCAAAGTTGTTCGTGTGTTTTTGCTGATTACCTGATTTATTAGCAGGCGCGATAATTTTCTTCTAGTTGATTTGAATAATTTATTAAGTTTTAGAAACAATTAGTATTTTCAATTTCCAGTTAATCGTAAAGAGATCCTTATACACAAAAATTAGTGTTGTTTTCACCTATACACGGTTGGTAGTCATAGAAACGTGGGCAAAGTAATTAGATGAAAACAAAAAGTCAATATTTTGAACTATTTCTGAATTTTCATATGTTTTTAATATTTTTGGATTTTAGCTCTATTAAATTAAGAATGATATGAATGGAATATAAGTTATTCTGAATGGTATTACCGTAAAAAGTTTTCGGATCAATATTTTTATTGTTAATTAAATTAACCATAGAGCAACGGAATTTTTTTCAGACATCCCGACTTTAATATGGAAGAAACTAATGCAGAAACAATGAGTGCATCATTAGATGAACCCATAAATAAAAAAAACGCTATCAAAAGCAATCGCGCAGAAGTACGTTTCGATGTTCCGCATCGATGGAGTTCCAATTTTACCGCCATTGGTAAGTACGTGGGTGCATACATATACATATATTAGATTAGCGGTCGAGTAACGCTGAGGGCCAGTTTTTCAGTGCCAGTTTAAACTTAGATTAAGTAAACTGAGTTTAAATTGGATAGCTGGCTGGCATTTGATTCGCTGATCTGAGTTTAAACCAGCCAAATCGGGCGTTTAAACTTAGTTTAAACCATGGCTGTGCACTGAAAAACTGGCCCTGAGCGCATCACTGGTTGCAAGTTTTTTTTATTATTTTTTGGGAATAATTTTGCTTGTATTTCTAAGATTACGCAAGAAAAACGCCGGCAAATGCAAAAATTGAAAGAGAAGGCAGTTAAGGTTGAACAGCGCCTTGAGGAATGCCGTCGCAGAAGGGGGGAGATATAACTTGGAATATTCCACGGTCGGTGAAGAGTTAAAACTAGATCAAACAGGAGGGAGTAATAACCACGATATTAGCAGCAGCAGCAGCAGTAGTGTGTCTGAACACATAAAACAAGATAATCAACATGAAGAAGTTGAAAAATCATATCTGTTGCTTTCAGATCTTTTAGTTCAAAATGAAGTCGGTTCTTCATCGATTATACCTAATCAAAATAATTGCAAAATGAACCGTCAAGCCTCCGGAGAAGCTCGTAATAATGATTTAGAAATTATCGAACTACGGTCTTCGGAAACGAATCTCATGCAGCGGATGCAAAAGTTAAAAAAATCCGAAACATTGATCATTGAGCATGGTTCCAATACACTCTTAACACCTTTATCAGAAGATGAAATTCAACTTTTTCAACAACAGCAGCAGCAAATTAATTTGGACCATCCGAAACAGAAACCTTTAGAAGGTAAAGTTTATTTATATGAAGTTGACGAGGATGAAAATCCCAATTTTCAAATACATCAGAGACCCAAACCATGCATGGATAAATCTTTAATGAAAATACCATCAATATGCATTGATCCGCCAACACCAATCACAGCAACGTGTACTTTTAGTGACAGTATAAATCAGCAATGTAGCATTGATATTATAAATGTGAATAATGACAAGAAAGCCAGCAAGGAAACAAACAAGTCATTGATGGAAGAATATGGTTCAGATGAAAGCTTCAATTATACAGGGTCCACGACAAATCTTGAACGTGACCTTAAAACACATCGGAAGGTAACGAACATTACTAGCAAAATTATCAAGTTCGAAAACTTTTCTACAACGGAACAAAAAGAAGACACAGCGAAATGTTCTAATATAAGGCCTCCGCAGCGATCAGCCACAAGTCCATCGTTGAATGCAGGAACTTCGGAGAGAACACAGATCGCTCCCGATTCTCTAGGCGTGACACATGGTTCACAGAGTCACAACGGTTTGGTCCGCTCCAATTCATTCACGTTAGAGGGTCCTTCAGAAGCATTAATCGAACATATCCGTCAACAAAAATTACCCCCTAACAATAATTACCCCACTAAGCGTTTGAATTTATTTTCCATTAGTGCTACACGCGACACTGTGGAATCAAAAGCCAAGCGTGTACAGAAAATAGATTTGAAATCCCGTTCAGTACCAACGCGCTTTCAGCTAAAGCCTTCTACCACAAACATAACCACTCCGTCCCTTTCGCATTCAACTAATAACAAAATAAAACGTTCGCCATATGAACAAAAGGTCACCAAACCAAAGATGGGGCGCCAACTGAAAAAATCAGCTTGCGGCACCTCATCTATCAAACAAATGAAGACCAGAACTTCGATGCCGAGCATACCTTCAGACAAAAAATCGACAGAAGTTGCACGCGAGCCAGCAACAAACAACCTACACTTTAACGACATTGAAACTGAACACCGTCAAAAATTCCTAGAATTGTTGGCACATCAAAAAAAGGAACAGCAACGAATGCACCAGTTATTCGAAGAGCAACAACAGCACTTGCTCGAACAACTTACTGCCAAAATGAGTAGCGCGAATATTTGCCTGAAAAACGTTAATGATAATGGCTCGTTGGACAATTCTCCTTCCGCCAAACCGATCTTGGTCGCTACTCTGTCGTTGCAATCACCAACAATTACTGCCAACAGTTCAGTTGCCTCCAATTCCATGGATAGCACGACTGGCATATGTGAGTTGTCATCTCTAGAGTTATCTGCTTGTTCGTCTACCATACCGACAACGTCGCAAAGTAGCAACCGCTGCACACCGAGACGTCGCCTTTTTTTCGCGTGATTTCTCTCCTTCAGCGTCGTTATGCAGTAACAATATAGTGGATGCTCAGAACGTGAACCGCTCAAATGGAACAACTCCGGGGCGCTCCGGCAGCCGCGTAAGTATATTTTTATGTTATGTAGTTTTATAGTATGAAATGCGGCCTTGAAGGAAGATGCTTACACAAATTCGCAAAATTTTCATTTTCAAATTTTATAAGTGGCGTTTTTTTTTTTGAATGATCGCATTTCGCTATTTCGGATGTATGTATGTACATTAGTATTTAACATTTCAAAGTAAAATTAGCCTATTATGTATTTTATCTCTCTTATCTTCTTTTCCATTTAAAAGCTTTACACTAATAGTTGATCGCATTTCAGTATACTTGAAATATTATCAAAATGATGTTCCAACACTCAATCTCCAAATAAGTAACGAAGATCATATATTTTGTGCCTAATCTATTAACCAATCAAATCTAGCATTGAACTGGCGGTGTTTTAATTCCAGTTGGCAATTGTCTGTTAAAAAGAAATTTTGCAATGGAAGCCGCACTTGTAATACCATAAAAGTAGTTTCTAAGATTTATACCATTTTGTTTAAATAAATATACATATTTTGTTCATTTTATACCCGAGCGCACTTGTGCACAAGGGTATATTAATTTTGTTCACATAACGGTTGTTTTTAACAGCCAAAACGAATCGAGATAGATATAGACAAATGTATACATAAATGCTCAGAATGAATAGAGAAATCGATTAAGCCATGTCTGTCTGTCCGTCTGTCTGTCCGTCCGTCTGTCCGTCTGTCCGTCCGTCCGTCCGTCCGTGTACACGATAGTCGAGCAAAAATTGAGATATCTCAACGAAATTTGGAATGTAGGTTTCCGTTAATCCAAGGTAGGTTGGTATTGAAAATGGGCGAAATCGGACTGTAACCACGCCCACTTCCCATATAACGGTAATTTCCAGAAATACGAAAACTGCGATATTTTAGTAACTACTGAAGATAATTCACTCAAAATTGATATTTACAATAACTTTCTGACGAAAAATAAGAATGTTATAAATTTTTGGAAAATGGGCGTAGCCACGCCCACTTATGGTTACATGTGTATATCTTGGTAACCGCTGCACCAATTTCTTCCAAACTTGGCACAGTTGTTGACCTTGGTACAGCATACTAAATGGCCGAAAATTAAAAAAATCGGACAATAACCACGCCCACATCCCATATAACGGTAATTTAGAGAAATACAAAATCTTCGATAAATCAGTAAATATTAAAGCTAATTTATTCAAAATTGATGCTTGCAACAATTCTTTACCAAGAAATACGCTTATGGTAAAATTTTGAAAAATGGGCGTGGCACCGCCCATTATCGGTAACCGTTCTACCAATTTGTACCAAACTCGGTATTTTTATTGTGCTTGCCACATAAAAGCAAAACGTTGAAAATTATTGAAATCGGACTAAAATTACGGCCGCTTTTCATATAGCGGTAAATTTCAGAAATGCTTGAAACTGCAATATTTCGAAATTTAAAGACGCTAATTTACTCAAAATTGATATACCCCGGCTTACCATCTAGCGGTAGCTTTCGGAAAGGTGAAAAAACATATATTTAATATTTGCGCCGGGTATTTAATGTTCGGCTCCACCCGAACTTAGACTTTCTTACTTGTTTATACATTCATGTACTCACTTATGGGTTTATAAACTTATGCATGCATGTACATACATATGTATGTATAGTAATTTACTGGATTTGTAGTTCTGTTAACCTCTTTTCACTTTCAATCTTCTAGCTAAAAATTAAATGGATACATTTTATACATATTATTGTCTTATTACAATAAAAAAAGTCTTATAGCCTATGGAACCTTCAGGTATTTATCATACAAATGCTTAAGCTGTATGCATTTAATCTTTTTAGACATCCCTAAGTGCCTAAATTTCTTTGAGAAATGTTTGAAAATGTAATACATACATAAATATAACCAAAGAAAAATGCAATGGAATAAACACTTAATAAAATAACAACTTAAACTTATTTTCGATTCGAAAAAATATTTTTCCAATAAAAACAGTACAAGGCAGAAAATTCTGACTTAAGCGAGGAAGCACGGCGACGAGCTGCTGCAGTGACAAAAATTAATGCGCATGTGCGTGGTTATTTGGTACGACGTCTATTTCAAACGGAACAAATTCAACGTATCGTCCAGACAATTAAAGATACACTAATATTCGTTTTCAGTCTGCACATGGAAACTATGTACGATCCGGTTGAGGCGAAGGCGCCTGATAATGTCATATTGAAGGCACGACTTTTAAGACAGGTAAGCGATCAACCAATTTGTTTTAATATTTATTTCTACCTACATATGCACAAAATCCCCTGCTCAAAAATCTGTCCGCCAAAAATCTCCCGGACAAAATCCTCCGCAACAATAACCCCCAGACGAAATTACCCGAAAGATACTCGCAATAGGGGATCTTGCAATCCGCTCCTTCTAAAACCAGTATTAACAACGTTAAAAAACATATATGTATTATTTCCAACAGCTACGCAGAAATATCCCCAGTAACAAAATATCCCCGGACAAAATCAACCGACACAAATCTTTTAATAGCGGCTCCTGCAAAGTAATTTTCACAAAAAGGATGAAGCAAAACTTTATTAAACAAAAAATAATAATAATAATTCCAACGGTTTGACCCACATTTTCCGCTCATCCGCACGAGGGGCGCAGTCCGCATTACGTACGGAACCATTATTTTCAATTTTGCGCCAAGTCACGAAAGGCAGGAGTTTGTTAAGTGTCGAGATCTAAAACTGTTCAGATACAGAACTAAATTCATCAGCTGATTTTATGTCTTTATGTTAGTAATTCATTTATTGAAAGAGGATAGTATCGCTTTCTTAATGCTGAAAAGCGGATCTGATATATCAAACGTGCTGAAATGAGAGTTAAAATCAAAATTAGTTTTACAGGCTTTCAGAAATAGGGGACAAAAGTGTCTTGATCCTCGAGAGGGAACATTAAGCTAACTTCACCCAGAAAAAGCGGACTTGAAATTGAGCCTGTCAGTAAATTAACCATACAAATTATACCAAGCATTTCCCTGCGACTGACAAGTGTAGGAAGGTTAATAAGTTTTAAACGACTCGTATAAGGTGGAAGATTATATTGAGAATCCCATCGAAAATTTCTTAAAGCAAAAATAGGAATTGCTTTTGAACTACGCAAGAAATCGTCATCATCAACACTAATACTGTTCAAATATCTTTGAGCATGGATACATATCTGCCTGGGTAATAAAATTGAATATAGTAAACTTTTATAAAATACATATATATACAGTCCATAAATAATCACTTTTTTGCCCTCGGAAATATGTTCAAACTAATTAATGATTTAAGTTAATAAAAAATGGAAGGGTTGGTAATTTTTAATAATGGTTTTTTTTAGTACTTCAATTTAAAAATTGGAACATTGTACTTGATAAAAACTTTTTAAAGGGTCGTAAATCAAACCTGTGCCACTATATACAGTGACGAGCAAAACTATAACATGGTGTAACACTTTTTACTTCAGCCATCGCTATCTTTCCAAATTCTAACGACTTTCATACTTTTGCTGTATATTCTTGTTGGTACATCCCTACTCCCTCTCTCATAATATACAACAACAATAAAAAAACCAGCAGACAAAAATGTAAATTAAGGCAGATGTTACAGTTTTGCACTCATATATTTTTAAGAACTTTTTAACAATTTTCACGAAAAAAAAGAACTATTAACATAATGGTCAGTACTCTTTTGCTTGTTTCAGTTCCTGGATGCGATTTGGCATATCTTTGTAAAAATTCTGGAGGTATATCCTTAGTTTGCTTTCACAGCTCATGTACTCGATTTTACGGACTTTGATACTTATTAAGCTGTGCTTTTAGTTCATTTCGCGAATTCTCGATGAGATTCATGTCCGCGGATTGTGGAGGTCATTTCAAGTTAGCAAATTTTTGCTTTTGTATCCAGTCTTTGCGAACATATGCAGTATGTTTTGGGTGATTTTTCAGCAGAAACTCTCATTTTTCGACTATATCTTGCACATTTTGTTGAAATATGAACAGATACTGTTCCTTACGCATACTGCGTACTAACGGACCAACAATATTTTTGAAATACAACCACAAACTATTATTGACCGAACACTGCGATTCACATTTTGCCTTACATGATGCGCTTAGGCTTAATTTGGGTCTTTGATCCAATACCATGCCCGGCCATCTGATTGAAAGCGATTAATTTAGTCTTCTCAGACCAAATAACCTTCAATTGAAACTTAAAAATATTTTTTTATTGCATTCTGAACGGCCTAACATATCCCACTAGGCAACGGTTCGGTTTTCGTGCGATGCAGCGAAAAGCTGCCACACTCGCACATGTATTATGATCAAATTTGCTTGTTTCTTCTTTATGATGCCTTTGCGCTCAATTTGGCAATTCTTCGCCTCGCTGTCTATTGATTTGCACTAAAGTTTAATACCTTAAGCGCTTCTGTAATAGTGGCTGCATCGCTACTTGCTGCTAAGTTCACAAGATATCGTACCGTAATATTTTTTAACATACTTCCTTTGTCCTTGGGAACACTTTAGGCTATATTTTTTCTAAGCCTTAACATTTTCAAGTAGCAAATTCCAAAATTTGTTGCCACTTTTCGTGCGGTTCCGCCTTTCCGCAGTAAATCTATTATTTACAGTTATGGTTCCTTATTAATTATGTTATTTACTGGTGATCACTTCTTCAATAAATTACAATATAGAAAAAAGCCATCTGACTTCCAACTAAGTAAGAGATAACTGTCAAACTGCAAAACTGAGAGTGAGTGCAAAACTGTAACATCCGCCTTAATTCACTTTTTTGTCTGCTGGTTTTTTTATTGTTGTTGTATTGACTTCAAATCGTTATGAGAGAGAGAGTAGGGATGTACCAACAAGAACATACAACAAAAGGATGAAAGTGTTTAGAACTTGGAAATATAGCGGTGGCTGAAATAAAATGTGTTACACCATGTTACAGTTTTGCTCGTCACTGTAACTACTCGCTCGAGGCGACAAACTTAAAAAACTTGAAACTTGACAAAATTGTAAGTTCTTTTCATCAACAGACTTTTACATACATATGTAATGCTGTGCGTTAGGTAACCGCTTACACGCAAAGCTCATTTAACATATTCCTCATGTGACAACTCTCATGCAATGCAAAGTATGCATAACTGAGCCTTTAAACTTGCCTAATATTTTTTATTGCGTATAATAAACAAACCGCTTATCCAAATTAAACAAATTTGGTATCATATGAACGAGGACTGAGAAAGCTTTTATACAGAAATAACGAACGAAAGTTACCACCGCTATTTATATTTTTTTTTTACAATTTAATATATACTAAATAAATTCATATACATACCTGACCCAACTTTTGTTCTATGGTAATTAATTAAAATTTTTTATTGAAATAGTTTTCAATATGTGGCTTTCCTCGTTTAGACATTTCAGTTTTAAAGCTATTTAAGTCCTCTTTCATTTGATACCAAACTTGTTTAATTTGGATAAGCGGGTTGTTTATTATCCGGAAAAGACTTTTATTTCGGAATAACAAATATTTGGCCAAGTTTAACTCGTAGAAAATAACTGTAATTTACGGTCCCTTCAATATTCGCATTCGCAAAAGATCCGCATTGATTTTTGCGAATGCGAAAGCGAATGCGAATGTTAGAATTAATGCGGAAGCTCCGCGGTTGCGAATGCGAATGCGAATATTCGCAACAACCCTGGTTCAAACACCTTTGAACTAGTGATGGGCACACCTAAATACTTTTGTACTTAAAGTACTAGCCTGGGTACTAAATACTCAAATACTTAGTAGTTGGATATGTCTAAATATTCAAGTAAAAAAACTTAGGTATTTAGGAGCTGCTAAATACCCGAGTAAAAAATACTTAAGTATTTTGGAGTTTGCTAAATAAGTATTCAAGTAAAAAATACTTAGGTATTTTAGAGTTTGCTAAATACTCAAGTAAAAAATACCTAGGTATTTAGGAGTTGCTAAATACATAAGTAGAAAATATTTAGGTATTTAGGAGTTTGCTAAATACTCAAGGAAAAAATACTTACGTATTTAAGAGCTGTTAGATATTAAAATAAAAACAACTTGGGTATTTAGGAGCTGCTGGATACCCGAGAACCCTGAAGTAGTCTCGAAAATCCCGAAATAATCCCCAAAGACCCAAAAATCCCGATATAAGTCGCGAGAACCCCGAAGTAGTCACGAAAATTCTGAAGTAATTCCTGAAGACCCAAAAATCCCCATATTAGTCCCGAGAATACCGAAGTAGTTTCGAAAATGCCGAAAAAGGCCAAAAATTCCAATATTAGTCGCGAGAATCCCGAAGTAGTCTCCAAAATCCTAGAATATGGCCGAAAGTTTCAAAAATCCCGCCATTAGTCCCGAGAATGGCAAAATGTCTAAGAAGTCTCGATATTATCTAGTACTGAGATAGTCCCGAAAGTCTCGGAAATGCCGAATTTTTTTTATTTTTACGTTGAGTTAATGCAAGTATTTAGTATTTAATCAAGACATAAGTACTTAGTGGTTTGGTATCCAGTATTTAGTGAAGCCCTACATACTAAGTACTTTTGTATCCAGTATTTAGTAAAGACAAAGTCTCTTAATACTTTTTTTCGCGGTATTTAGTGAAGGCAAAGTCACTAAATACTTTTGTTCGCAGTATCTAGTAAAGCCAAAGTCACTAAATATTTTGGTACACGGTAGTTAGTGCAGCCAAAGTCTCAAAGTACTTCTGTACGCGGTGCTTCGTTAGGTGAAACTAACTAAATACTTTTACACAAAGTATTTAGCGCTGTGAGAATAAGTAAATACTAGCATACTTGGTATTTAGTAACATCCAAAATACTTAAGTAAATATTACTTTTGTATTTACCACAACACAAATACCTAAATACTTTTGTACTTAGTACTTAGTAAATACAAAATAAAAGTGCATTGATTCTCGGTCTCACCCCCCAGAAATGTGTGAATAGCCTCAAGACTAAACTATATAAAGTTTTAGGTCAATCAAAAAAGATTTAGAGTTGCTTAAAGCGCTCAAAGTTTCCCATGTATTTTATATCGCGAAAAAACTATTTTTCGTAGAAATTGTATAGAATCCTTGAAAACCAATATTTTGCAATCAACAAACTCTGTTTCTCTTCAGGAGACTTCTAAAAATATTACCCAATTGGTTATTTAAAATTTGTTTAATATTAACGGTTT